ACAAGAAAATTAAGATTATAAATTAGCATCTAGTTTCAAAATCAATGAAACTTACCTGTGTATGTATATAAAAGTAAAATGATTTAAAAATATTCTCGAGAAAATACTCGCCCAAAACCTGATGTGTGTGGATGATGTGTTTGCTGTGACAAGACCATGAGCTGTGTCCTTGTTCATCCTTTCCATACTGGGAATACTAGGATAAACTGTTGATTCATCTGGTCCAATCAAATATAAATAGAAAAAGGAGCTCTTGGTGAATGTTTGGTGCCTGTGCCAGTTGCTCTGTGTGGGCCTGAAATATGGCCAGAAGGCTAGTTTAAAGCAGAGGTTTCCCTTCACCAGGGAGGACTTCTGTCTAATAGTGTTAGATTAAAAACTAAGGTCATTATGATTTTGCCAATTTTTCTTCATTTCTTTTTTTATTTCTAACATAACACACTTCTCAAACATAATCCATTATGTTAATTCATCTTAAAGGTTCTTCTGGCCAGGTAGGGTTTTTGTACATGAACCAGATGAGAGCCTTTTAATTTACTGGGAAACTGTACATTTTATGCTTTAAAATACCAATAATTTAATCACCTCAGATTGAGAAAAATCTATAAACATAAAAATTAACTGCTGTTTATCTCTTTTAGATTCTAAATCTTAAGTTACAGCCTTTTGCTAGAAGAGTTGAAACACCACCATCTCCTTAGAAAGGGTTTTTTTTTTTTTTTTTTTTTTAATGTTCTCAAAGCTGTTATTGGCATCTTACTGACTTCTAAACTTTTTGTTTGTTTTTAATACTCCAACTCCAGTATATATTTTAGGAGTTTTGATCAGTGGAATTGATTCATTCCCTTTAGGTACTATTTTTATTGTTTTACCTAGAATATTAGAAATTACTGCTAATTCACCTGCTAATGGTAGAAAATTGACTGTCCTTAATAGGTAGGAGATTGTGTGTCTCATATTCATCTTATTCCTTGTACTAGAAGGATAAGGGGCATGCTTCCTTTGGGGTATTTTAACCAGTAAGGATGTCTTTCCAATAACCTGACAGGCCTCATCTTAGATACCTTTGTGACTACATGGTTACATGTTAGAGCCACATTCATAATTTTTCCTAGCCTATTATTGAGATTTTTGCATATAACTCTTTGGCAACATTTTGAAGCATGCTAACCATCCAGACATATTGTACTTTCAAATCACTGAGATGGAGGTAGGGGTTATAGCCAGGCTGGAGAGGGTTTGCTCAGCTACCTGTGCTGATGGAAGCAGGAAGACTGGATGTTTTTGCCATTGTTTTCAAGTCCTTCATAGACAACATACAGCCTGTTGCCTGTAGCTGACCTGATCAGGACCCTCCCCAGCCTACTCTCCATGCTGAGGGCACAGTTGGAACAAAGTTGTGTTGATAGAATATTGTAGTGACTCATTTTACTTTCGACAAGGGCAGGCTTTTGAATTGGGAGCAGCAGCTGCATGGCCTAACTCTGGCCACAACTACTACTTGGTTCCTGCTGCTGCCTTCTTGGGCCTGTTTGACTGCATGGAGCCTGCGTAGGTTAGAAAATGAATGTGCACGATGATGTTCTGTGAACTGGAAGTTCTTTGTGTTCTCAACGGCTCATGCTTGGCCCTAACCCTAGACTTTAGGGACAGCTAGGAAAGATTCTAGTCTGTATAAACTAGAAGGGTCATTTTAATAAAAATTATTATGAATTATAGTATTTTAGATGATGAATGATTTATTTTAAAACTTTTTCAATTTCAGTCTTAATATCGCACTGTGATGTTCACTTGAAAGATCTGTTTGAGATTAGTGTTTTTTTTTTTTTTTACTTTAAACTCGTTAGATCTGGTGAGCACAGGATACTTACCATTTGTAAATCCAAAACACTGTGTGAAAATATTTCTAGTTATCAATTTCTTTCTTTACAAAAGCATAACTAAAACATGAAAATAATGTTGGCTTATAGAAATATTTATTGTTCAAGGTCTGTAATTGTATTTCAAAAATGATGTAGTATTCAACTTGTGAAGGGATTTGTTTTGTCAAAAAATTAAAAACTAAATGTGTATAAACCACTCTGAAGAGTAGGGGACTCCTCTGCAGTCCCAGCAGGTAGGACCTGACCACAGTCACATCTATCACCCTGAATGGCCATGTTGTTTTTAGCAGTTGGGTTAGAATATGTTCACTAGGTTACATTATGTTTGGTAATATCATCTTGAAAAGTCCCCATAAAATATTAAGGCGACTACATTCCCTGTCCCAAAGGAATCTATTTCTAAGACACATAGGCAACTTGGTACTACTACATACTAAGTAAGAGTTGGAGAAAGTATTTCAGACTCAAGAAAACTTTGAAAAGTCAGGAACTATGCGGCTTGGGAATCAGTACCGCAAATGTGGCCATGGTGGATGTGGGAAGCGATGGGAAAGTTCTTGAGAGCCTGTTTCCGTTCAGTCACTACACTTTTCTTTTTCCAAATGCATCCTATTGGATATGGAATAGATCATAGATGTCGTAGACTGAGATTTGGGACTGTGTTGGGACCATACAGGTGAATATGTCACTTCCACAAATGGCATCTCCAAGTAAGTCACGTCGCCTGGTGCACGTGGAGGTGGAGCCTGCGGCTGGAGTAAGGCGCGCTGTGTGACGCCCGCGCACTTTGCTCTTCTTGCGGGTGGTTTGCCAAGCGGAGAGCCATCGGATCCTTCCCTGCTGTGGCTAGTTGTATGTCCAGTCGCTGGGAAGGGTGGGATAAAAGTCGGAATCTTCTGCAATCTGTGTCATGGACTGTGATATTGTAAGGTCTATTTTCTGTATGTGGATCTCAGACCCCAATCAGGAAACGAGCCTCATGTGTGTCATTAACATTATATATTTCCATTCAAAATATGTATTCAGTGTTTATTTCCTTAAAACAGACTTTGTTAATTTAGGAAATATCTCCAAGTGGAAACGTGCTAACTTTTCTGTAAATCTTAAATAAAAGGTGCTGTTCCTTCCTCTGATCCAGGACTGGTTTGTGTTTTCTGTCTTTCTCTCCATGCATTTTTTTCTCCTTTTTTTTTTTTTTTTTTAAGCTTTTAAATTTGTCCTAGCCACCTTAAGGGAAGAGCATGGGTTGGTAAATAGAGCACTGAACTCTCTTTCTTTGAGCCCATGTTGGAGGCCCATTTCTTTGGACCTCGGTTCCTCCATCAGTGAGATGGGTTGGCCTCATTGGCCATTTGGGCTACTCTGAGTGGAAGCCTGGCCAGGCAGTGTGACTGCTGCTTCCTGATGTCCTGGGCTCCCCTAGTCCCACCCTTCAGTCTCACTTCAGAGGTTCTGAGCCCCCCCATCTGTGACCCCATATCTGATGAACATTTAAATTTGGGGTTTGAACTCACAGCATTTCAAATTGCCTCTTTCTGGAGGCTAATGTTAAGGAAGTAGGAAGTGAGGTGACAGGCAAGGATGGGCTATGAACCCTGCATTTGCATCCATCCAGTGATGAACCCTTAAAATGTGACCCTGCTATAATTCAGTGTGCATT